AGGTTTGAATTTTGTTGTCTTTCTCGGGAAGAATAACTCGTACGACTTGCACATCTTTGAACCAATAACCAAGTTTAGAAAAAATATGTCGAAAACATTTTAAAAATCGATTCAAATATCGAGAAAATACTACAAAACCCGAGCAAAATTGCAAAAATCTAAAGTTTTTTAAAGAAAACCAGGGGTGTGTGGAAATTGTAGCGGGCTCAGATCCGAGCCTGGTCAGTGGTAATTACCATGAGAAATACGGACCAGTTGTCATGGAGATGGCGTCAGCAAAGGCCGAAATCCGCCATGTTTTTGGCTTCACTTTTTTTTCCCGTGCAAGTCCTCCAGTAATATAGTATAGCTCAGTGTTTACTAGTGATGGGCGATAGGCCTGGATAAATTATGCTCGAAAATTCAGCTATTATGCCCAGAAGCAGTGCTCGTTAAATCAACTATTATGCTCACAAAAAAACCTATTATGCTCGAATTATGCTCGAAGAAAATTCAATTCCAACATGCACATCCGCTGATTCCCGGCCCCCGGGCCCCGGGGCGGGCCCGTGTTAAAAATACTCAAACATGAAAACATGAGAAGTGGTAACTGTTAACTCCCAACTGTAACAATGTATGAAATATGAATACAACAATGTTTCTAGGTTCCTAATTCCTAAATCCTAACAGACTAGTCTAACAGGAGTAACAGGTCCTGTGGCTGTAGGCTGTAGACTGTAGAGTGTAGACTGTAGTAATGTATATTACTAAGACTATTAGTCTATCAGTCCATCAGGATTCAGGACCATCAGTCCATCACTAATACTATCAGATAATCAGATAATACTAATAGTTTATCATCATTCATCACAATCATCACCGTCCAAGGCCGCGTCCATTGTATTGCAGCATCAGGGATGTTTCAATATAATCTTCCAGTGCTGAATCTTGCTGTTCATTGAAGGATGCTTTCAGGAGAGAAAAGGCTCGTTCTGCTGCAGCAGACGAAGGCTGGCAGAGGAAAATCTTTCGTGCTTCCCTTGACCATCTGGGCAAAACGTCCTCATGTCTTTTCCACCAAGCAAGGATGTCATCGTTATGAACCCCAGTTGACGCAGCCAGGTATGCAGGTAGCTCCGCAACTAGTCCATCCAGATCAGTGTTACTTATGAATGGAAAGTTTCCAAGCTCTTTGACATCTGCAACTGTACGTACCAAGTCATTAACCCTTCTAGGGTCAACTAACCGTGCTGCTTTGAAGCAAGACAGTGGCTGTGACAGATTATCTGCATTTGCAAAGGTGTCCAGAAAGTAGTTAAATCCTGGCTGGACACACTGACAAGCCTAATCTTGCCACTGTTCTTGGTCGCGTTGATCTGGACCATCTGTGGCAGCTAATTCAGAGGAAATCTGTGTTACATTTGGCATGTGCATCAATCTCACACAGTTTTCAAGTTCGATGATAGCATCATAAGCTTCCAGTACCAAAGGACCGTCCCCTTCGAGGCTGTATGTCTTCTTCACGAATGGTTCACCTGCATCAACAGTTGCTGCGATCTCTATCTTCAGCTTGGCTTCAGAGTTTGCGATTATGTCCAGTAGCTTCCTTGTTGTGGCTGGAGCAGTGCCAGTATCCCTATTTGCAGTCAGGAAGGCTGTGACATGGGGGTAGAAAAGGAATAAGTCCTGTTTAATGCATTCCCATTGGCTCCACCATCTTGTTGGTGAGTACGTCGTGAGACTTTTTCCAGTACGATCTTTCCACAGAAGTTTGGCATGTGGTGAGTGTGCAAATAGTGAGACCCAGTGCTTGATGAATTTGGTGAGAACAGGAGTATCGAACTTCTCTCCCACATGTTCAAGAGTGTGAGAAAAGCAACCAATATCTAGAATATTGGGGAAAATCACCTTAATAGTTCTCACTGCTACATTGTTAACACTGGTCCTATCACGCATAGTAGCAACCGGTAGCTCTGTGGCAACACCATACTCTCTGGCAAGAACACTGATGATCTCCCTTGCAACTTCTTCTCCTGCTAAAGATTTAGCAAGCAAGAGAAATCGCAAAAGCCTCTGTTGGATTTTCCACTCACTGTCGAGGAATCTAACAATAATAACTAATGCTTCTCCTAGCCTGGTGGTACCATCAAACACAATCGATATCTCTCTTCCTGTCAGTTCTTCAAGAGTGTTTTTTTTCTCCTCCTGGTGTACCACGGGAATCAGCTGGGCCATGTTTGTTCGATCTGTCAGTTTATAAGCTGACTCTTCTAAGATACTTCTGAAGCAATTTATCTTATTAATGGCTATTCCAGCCTTCATGAAGGCTGTTACAACTTTAAGACGAAATACTCTGGTATTCATACTCAATGTTTCCCCTATCGGATGGTTTTCTTCGTCATATGCGCGTAGAACTTCTGCCAGATCTCTCTCACGTTTTGCCTTTTGGTGTAATTTCTCTTTTCCAGACAGATGTTTGTGAGTGTTTATATGATTTATGATAGTTGATCTCTTAACTGATATTTCTTCGCGACATGCTTCACAAAAAAATGCTCCCTTGCCAATCGCAGTATCCTTGAAGCATTCTTGTGGAAATTCTTGGATTCTTACAGCTACAGAAACATTTGGGGCAGTTGAAGTCTTAGCATGTACAATGCGAGTTTGATGTTTGCGTGGATTAACATTGACTTTACGTTTACGAGCCAGGTCTGACTTTCTGGGAGCTCTTAATAAAGTCAAAGCATTGACAACCAACTCATTATTTCCTTGTCCTTGCCCCTCTTGAACCTCTTCGCCATCTTCATCGTCGTCAAACTCGCCGTCGTCGTCACAGAATAGGAAGTTATACCAGAAGCGTAACTCTAGTCGTTTCCCTTATTGTTTGACGTCCACGAAAATTTTTAACTCGCTCACGTCAGGCCACGCCATCCTGGCTAGTACAGCCGGAAGTTTTTATCAGGATTTGGTAGGTACAAAGTGCCGGTTGTACTAGCCAGGATGGCGTGATTGATGACGAATCGCTTGTAAAAACGCGGACAAATATTTGCTCGAGTTACGCTTCTGGTATAACTTCCTATTCTGTGTCGTCGTCGACAATGACCATGTTTTCGTTATTCTCATCTCGATCCGCCATCTTTGTTTACTAATTACTAGTGCCCGGCCCCCCGGGCACTAATAATTAGTAAACAAAGTTAGAAATTTCTTTTAATTTCTTTTTTCAAAATTAGAAATTTCTTTCCAAATTTTTCTGGCCAAAGACGAAACTATTATTTTTTTAACATTATGCCGGAATTAATAGCATTATGCCGCATTATGCTCGCAATGCTCGAAAGTGCTCATTATGCTCCTGAAGACCTATTATGCTCGAAATTATGCCGGCATAATTTATCCAGGCCTAGTCCTGCCATTTCGAGAGAGCAGGACTTCGCATTTTTAAATTGTCGGTTTGAGCATGCGCAGACCTAATTATCCAATCAGAAACCAAGATTTCTTGTATGAATTTACTATGAAATATACTAGCAAGTCCTGCCATTTGAAAATGGCAGGACTGAAATACGAGTCGCGTGTAAATCAATGTAGAGTTGCAGTTGCTAGGTAACAGATTGGGTAACAGACACGGCAAGCTGTAAAATTGCGTAAATATAACAGAATGCGAAAAACTTTTTAAAGAATAATAACGAAAAAGACGAGAAAATGAGACAAAATAACAATATGATAATGATAAATTTTTAAAGCTTCAAGATAAATAAAGCAATGCTTTAGTACGGAAATTTGGGGAAATTTTTAGTCCTGCTGGGCAGGACAAGCAGGACCGCTAGCTACGCCACTGTTTACTTCAGTCTAGTTCAATGGCACTGACTCGTCCCCAGTTACTCATCCGAGAGCATTTCCTTGATCTTCTTTGTGTCCTATTGTTCCTAACCCGCAAGGGTCTGTCTTGCAGGCTACGTGATCCTGTAATCTTAATTTTTTCGAAGCAAATTTGAGGGGCTGTAGAAGAGTCTGGGGCCAGCGCACTTCATGTAAACTCGATATTTCAAAACCGTAAAAATTCATGTTCACTTAAAATTATTTTCACTATCTTTATTTATGTAGCTCATGCTTTGGGATTTGGGCATGAACAATCAAGAGACGACCGGGATACATACGTTAGAATCCATTGGAATAATATCATACCTGGTAAGTTAACTATCAGATAAAATTCATCGGAATAATTTATATCATGTATATACGTGGTACTGTAACAATTATATATATATACTCATGCACTATATAGTTGCTGCACCTCATATTAATTTTTATCTATTTCTTTCATGACTTATTCAAAAGCAATGAAGTTTAACTTTGAAAAGTATTCAAAATCTGAAGTTAACAGCCTTGGGAAAAAGTACGACTATGCAAGTGTGATGCATTATGGACCGTACGACTTCGCGAAACGAGATGGGTTAAAAACTATCTCAAGTTTGCAAAAGGGTAAAAAATTTGGCAATAAACCAAAACTGAGCAAACTAGATAGAGAACAGGCTAGACTGTTATACAAATGCAGCAAAGGTAAATATAACTCTATTAACTCATTTCATGTTGCATGGAAACCCGTTAGTTGGAGAATTCATCTCTCCAGTGCCAACTGTCTAATACAGTAATAGTGCCAACTGTCTGATAATTCCAGTTGCGCTGTCTAGTTATCTATGGTTATGTCAATGCCTTGTGTCAATGTGTTGTAATTATTACTTTCAATGGCAGAACGTATAAAAAGATTCTTGTTAATAAATTATCAGGAACCTTTTAACCAACCATGTGTTTTCACTATTATCACATGACGAAACCAAAGATTCAGTTGACGCAAGAATATACTTTCAGGACCCATTCCTATTTATTATAGGACTCTATATAGGACTGGATGTTTTCACAAAATTATTTTGCGGTAATGGTAATCGAATTTTGTTCAGGGGACAATTTCGATTTCTTGTGAATATGGCTAAGCAACACTGAATCATGTTTGAAGCATTTTAACCAAGATTTGAAATTTATAATTCAGATTAGCATCTATACTTTATCTGTATTCAATTTCCACCGTATAGGAACGAAGATCCCCCAACCACCCACTCAAGCACCAATGCCATCACCCTCAAGTTCAACAATTCCACCTGGTTCAGGTTCTGGATCTGATGATGATTCTAGTTAAAGAACATGCAAGTTGAAGTCGATCAGAGCATCATGTTCAGTTTTATACTTTGTTTATATGAGGTCATAGTCGTCATACCAATATATAGAAATATTCTAGCATGCGTTGGTATATGTATTTTGTAGCATAGTGGTAGCCGATCATAGATTTGGATAAAAACTGGTTTCAGCCATTATATATAGTTCAGCTTGGTTGATGACTGGATATAAACATATAGTTATAGACTTAAACAATGTTAAATATAAGGATTGCTCATTTTAATTAGTTGTCAGTAATTTTGCTTGGTTTCATTGTTACATTTTACGTATTTAATACATAGAAAGTATTGATAACTTACGTTAGTATTTAGTTGAAAGTCAGCACAAGGTCAAGAGAGAGAAATATATATTGTCACGAGATGTCACATATTTTCATTGATAGTTATTTTACTGTAGTTTAATAAACATTTCCTCCCCTTGAATGCCTAAACCATGGCCATGACCAATAAAGTTTCACTGTTTCAGAAGAAACGATCAAAAGACAAAACTGAATCATATATGTAATTAATATGGCAGCTTTCAATGCAAAATCTGTCAAATGAAATTCTCAATTAAGATGCCTTCATTACTCTTTATCCGGTCTTGCTGAGTCAGTACAACCAGATTTGGTAAAATATTAATTTACTTTTGGTAAAATTTCATCAATTTTGATTTTTGGAAAATATTTCGTAATGAGTTTTTTCCGAAATTTTAATAATTCTGCAATTTTTGGTAAAAATTTGTGTTCGAATGATATCTTGTGCACAGATGCTAACAGCGATCAATGGAACTTTCTAGCCTCAGTAGCCTGCAAAATCGCTAATTACAAGCATGGAATAGGAAACAGTGGGTTTTCAGGCAACTTACTGTAGTTGTCTTGTCGAAGCCATGACTCACGAGAGTCATGTTGACGAAACATTAAGTTAATACTATTATATTTATACTAATATATTGATGGCCTAGCCTGCGGCCTGACTCTAGTACATATTGTATTCATGGGACGATCGGTTTCGCGGGATTATGTCCTTCCAAAATCCACTGTTTAAGAATGGGTCTCAAACCGAACCTGCGTTAGTAACTACTGGCCCATTTCGTTGTTGTGAACCATTTAAGAGAATATTCAGAGAGACGTTAATGTATAGAAGATTGATAAAATTTGTTGAAAATCATATCTTAATTATTTGAAAACCAATTTGGACACTCTACAGACTACAATATACTAAGCAGACAAGCAGGTCCTGTAACACTTGTAACAGATAAATGAGACGATGGAGTAACCTGGGTTTAAACATAGTTGGAAAAAGTTCACTAAAGTCAGACGCGCGCGAAATTTTCGAAAACTTTCAGTAAGCCTATGTATTTTAACGTTCTCTGGTAGCGTTTTTAGAACAGGAAAGCTGTTACTAAAAACGCAAGCAACGTAGCATGCTAAATGTTTTGAAAAAACGTTTTATACATGTACATTGTAGTATTGTACTCCGCGATTTAAAACAAGATCACACTGCCTTTAATACCATGTAATAAATAACGTTATGTTTACCCGGGCAGTTCCTGAGCAGTAATTAGTAGGACCCCATCAGTCCCCCCAGAAAATTGTGAAATTTAGAGTCTCTGAAACGCCATTTCATGCAATTTTGGGGAAGCTTTTCCGAATTCTGATGGTCAGAAAACTACGATAATTAGAATTATAGTAAATTTTAATAATTGCCCAAACTGGACTTCTGGGACCTTCTAGGTTATACTAAACATGATTTGAATGTATTTTTGCCCAACAAATTAGTATCATTGCCCTACAAAATTGCTTTTCTCAAACATCAGGGGGTGTCACACACTAGAACAAATTATTTATGGCATGTTTTAATTTCCCTTTCAGGGACCCTAAGTTTGGAATAACATGGACTTGTTTTCAAACTTTAATCAGATCCGGTCTTCAAGCATAAATGGAAAAGTTATCTAATTACCGAATATTAGCCTTAACTTAAACTAAGCAAACTAATCGATTTATTTTCTATGATAGACTATGTCTACGTATATACTTCAACATAAGTCATAAAGGCTGATGGAGGTCAAATAATGAGATTCTTTAGTCTAAATGCCCTCCATGTGCACTGAACTGGAGCACGCTCAAAGTCACCTACATGCACTATACGGTGCATAGTAGCATACTTAGTAGCCTACGGTGTAGGTCTACACCGTAGGCTACATACTTAGCCAATTTGTGTACATACCAGTTGTTGCTAAATTTAAAAATTTTAAATGTGATAAGTGCAGATCAAAAAAGTCTGGTATATATAAAGTTTTGGTGCTTCAGACACAAACCATATTTTCATCAACAAGATGCGTGGAGGAGCTACAAGCACATCTGTGAGAATCTGCAAGTGTGGATGCTTAATGAGCAAAATTAACTGCAAGTCAATAGAACAAATTACCCAATAATGGGCGCACATAAAACATCAGCAGATAGTAGGATAAACCCAGCCGTGCATTCCGTAAAAATTCTATGGAGCTCACAGAGATATGCCAACATTCACAATAAACCAGGCATAATACTACAGTGTGGTGCCCTGGAGCATGCACTGTAAAACAAGTGCACCACAAGTGCAAAAACATACTGAATTTTTGAATAAATACCAAGGCTTATGATTCCAAACAAACTAACAAACTCATAGCAATTATTCACATTTTCTAAGCTGTATTTATAAACTATTGTTTAGATCTATTTAGTGTTATACCACATATGGATCAAGCACTATCCCATGTCTTAATGATGAGTATTGTCCAATATGTTTGAAAATATTTGGTTCTACATATATTGCATTATAGTCTGACTCTTTCAAGAACTCATCTAATAAAGCATCTTTTGCATGACCAGCATAGCTAACTTTATGAGACACTGAATCAATGACCGCCCTAGCACCATTGTATGAATACAAATTAGCTGGAGTGCAACAACTTGGAGCAGTTACGAATGAGTGAAAGTATGGAGAGACTGTACGTATGCCTATAAGATTTGGTCGGCCTATTGCAAGAGCCAGAAATACTATGTAAACACCAGTTAATATTACAAATCTCCGTGTAATAGTAATGCCACTCGTACATGTTTTTTTAACTGCAATAAGAAATGTTACGAGCAGTAAAATGGCACCTGCAAGTTCAAACAATCGATATATCTCTGAACTTATAAAACCAAGAAGCCGTTCAGGATGATACAACTTTAGATAAGCAACCTTCCTTTGCTGATGAAAAAATTCACTAAATTTTCCTTGAAATACATTTTGTATGCTATATTCCAGGACAGGTAACATTCGATCAGTTGGATAGGCATCATCCTCCATCAACAACACATATCTTGGTTGAAATTGAAGAGACTTCTCTAAACAGTACACATAATCTTGTTTTTCTTTTTCAAACCTGTTTATAACCTGATTTAGTCTTTTTGTGTATTTAACTGTTGTATATATTAAATTTGAAATTTCTTTTGCTTCAGTGTATGCATTTGGTAACGAATCAACATTGCAAACCATCAAACCATAAGTGAAGTCCAATCCAGTTACATCCTTTCTCAAAAGTTGTAGTAATTTACTAGCAGTTTGTGTCAAATAATACGGATTATAATCACTTATCCCTCTTGATACAGTAATTAGAGTGATAATTATATCAGTAACATTACTTGGCTTTCCAACTATTTCATTTTTGGTCACGATATTTCTAAATTCCTTATGAGCCATCAATAACCGTTGATTATTTTCTTCTTCCATTTTGAGATTCTCTTGAGTGATATTTCTAGGCCTTAGCCCTCCGTAATAAATGGAATACTTGAGACGGTGGCACAATACTGGTAATATAACTAAAAACGTTAGACCAAACCATAGCAAAGTAATGAATAAACGATATAACATTTGAGGAAACCTTTACAATATGATCTCGTGAACACTTTTTACTGTAAACCTTCGCTGACAACTCCTTCTTCTTCCAATTTCTCTGCACGTCATGTTAGATAATTAATGGTGTGTCTCCAGCTGTACTCTGACCCTAATATACCTGGAGTGGTAAATCAATCCCAAAACAGGAGCTTTTTGCACAATTCTAGGATTTAAGGATTTTTAAAGGAATTTAAGAGATTCCGAATTTGGACATTTAGACAGTCTTATCTCTTAACTGCCCAGATGCGCAGGGAATGAGAGTGCCATTATATTTTGTGAATTGCACAATTTCAAGCTGTTGCCTGCTGAGTTGATTTACAGATTTCTGAATGGATAAAGTAATTAAAGAATAATTTAGGTGTTACTGATTAGATGTTAAATTTTCCGGGAAGCATCCTCCTAAGTCCTACCTCTGAAATCTAGGACTGGATGGTGCATCTGCGCCAATGAATGGCGGCCATATTCACAGTGACCGCCCGCAAGTTAATTATCTGACCAGTGACTACGTACTGTCGGTACTGATATTCATTTACTGTATTTTTGGACTGTATCTCGAACTGGATCAATACACTCCACGTGAGCAAAACAAAGCAATACGGTTGGCTAATAATGATTTAAATATATTTAAAACCATCCTCAGAGATACGAAAAACTAATCAGTTCATATCATTCAGACGCTCCAGAGTACAACAATTCCATGTCTATTTCAGAATCATCCTCAGAGATATGAAGAATTGAAACACTGCGCGTCCTCCAAGACAAGCAACATTTCGTGCACTTAGATGGGAAAAGACTCGCTACCAAACCGGTAGTCTAGAAACTTGAAGATGCGAGTTCGAATCCCGCTCAAGATAACGAATTTTTCGTTGTATTGTATCGTTTAATAATGATGTAAGATGTGGGTTATGAATACTACAGCTGAAACTATTGAACACCAAAGAAGTACACTTTATTTTCATTAAAAACAAGTTACATCATTACTGTAATTATTTTTTAAAAAAGTCCTGATTCTATAGTATTGACATGTTGAACAATGCAATCTATGACCAGCACAAATGTTTGTTCACAATACTATTGTACAAAGAATGGAAATACTTTCCACAAGGCACAATATATTTTACATTATTTCTACAGTAAAAATAATTGCCACTAAATATGCACACTGCAGCTTAAGTAATTGTTAAAAAACCTAAACAATTCTAACATAAAAAAGAGTTATTCCCCAAAATGAACTATTATTACCTGTTCATTTTATTTTATATATACGAGACTGTCTAACAGTTCCAAGTTCATAGTAAAGCAAGGTTTCTACAAAAATTTTGCCTTACCGTTGCATTTCGTTCTAACAAACTCGTTATGTATACCTTTACTTTAACTACGCAGCCTACTTACTATAAAACCAGGGGAAACGATTCAGACACACAGTATGGGACCCAGGGGCACACCTCTTTTTTACGTAAGGAAGCAACAAGTGCTCTACATAAATAAATATGTATAATGTTTATTCAAAGCGATGTTTATCGTATGATAATGTCATAAAACGCATAAAATGCAACCCAGTTAAAATTAGCTACCACCAAGCAGCGCTCTACTAAATGGTAGTCCCCGTTTGTTCGTTATTTTTCTAGTCATTGTTATTGTTGTACAAAATAGGTGCAGCTGCTACAATTACAAGCCTGCTACCATGCGCCTTTATCATTGTTTTCCCATGATTCCGTACCACGATAAAGCCTCATGCATCTTACTAGATAAATCTCAATCTAGTGGCTAAAGTTTTAGATAAAATATTAAAATAGTTAGACGTTTCAGACCCATAGCTAAATAAATATACACAATTGCAAAACCAAAAAGGTTTTACCCTCTGTGGACGTTCAAAAATTTAAGTCTTTTTCACTCTTTCCACCCTCTCTTTCTTCGCTTCACGCGACATCTCTCCTAGTCTTCTAGTTTTAACAAAGTCAATTTCGGTATAATCAGGATTTCCTTTTCTCGAACTGAAGGATGGGTTCTTTTGAATTGGAGTCGGTGGTCCGGAACCAGAAACCTTAATATAGTTCACTGCTTGTTGTTGTTTTGCCTCGACGTTAATATAATGTATCTCATTACGTGCTCCAACTACATTCTCATACGAATGAGCGTTTGGCAGTCGAGCAGCGAGATTTTGGTAGGAATTATTCAACGATGTTGAGCTCATAGTTTTCTCTGATCCTGGTAGATTTTGGTATCCTGGTTGTCCGATTACTTTATCCAGATGATGATAAACATTTTCCTCACTGTCGTATCTATCCCATTCACCAGGTTGAAGTCTAGCTACCTGCTTCGCCCTTGGTTTTTCAGGTACATTCACATATTGATTTAAAGACGGTTCACTGCCGCTTGGCGTGATTTCTATAGTTAACATAGGTCGTTTCCCGCGGCTGCCACTTGTGTTTCTACGTGCTTGTATTCCGGCGCCTTCGAAAGATCTTGCCTCGGGGGATGCTACTGACCCAGAGTTGTTATTCCCTTCACCATTACGTGTTGGGGGATCACTCGCGCGTCGATCGGATTGTTTTGTTTTGATGAGTCCTTCACGAATCATGTCGTCTGTGTTTAGAAACAAGGCACTCCTCCGTTGCCAGATTGTCGCGTCCACATCGTTCTGGGTGTCAGCGCCAGGGACGGATAACGAACCTTTCATATCACCGTGATCTTTACAAACACCCTTCCCTGCATCAATTTCACACTCATGTTCACCGGCATTGTCTTTGCTAGCATTCTCAGGGTGGTTTACTCCATTCACTCTCCTCATATCTTCAGAAGTACTGTCTCCAGTATCTACTTGTTCATGGCTAGATAAAACTCCATCAGATGCAGACGGTGAAACACCGGCAGATGACGACGTCGCACTGCCTTGAGATTTTCTTTCGTTAAGTGATTCTGGACTAAGATGATTCTCCGAACCTTTCGCAGCACCGTTCTTTGCAGATGCATGTTGCAAGCTTCCTCCGCCGAAGTTAGTCTTTTTCTCCGGAGAGCCTGCAGAGCTACTACTTTCAATTTCCGCCGGATGACTGGCTTTCTCCTGCCATTTGGGAGATTTCGGTCTTCTGCTTTTCCGACGAATACTCAGTCTTTGCATGAAACGTTTAAAGCCAGAAGGTTCACTCATTGATCGGGGTCTTGGCGCTTTTGGTGAATTTAACTTTGCAGGTCTTTGCAGCCCTTCTGTAAAACAAAACTTGCGTTAGCTTTATGCAAAACAAGCAATATTCACTATATAACTACGGATTCTACCTGAAGTTGCACGGCATAAAAATGAACAAAATCCCATAGTCTCTTGTACACGAAGTCGAAGAACGTGCAATGTTAGTACATATGCTCAAACACATACTTATAATGGCATGGGAAAATGGCCTATTGTACGCAAATAAGTGTATTGGCCGACGTCAATCAGACAGAAATGGAAATTTGCTGCCGAATCTCGACGTAAATTTACTTACGAGATAACCAAATATAGAAACAACAACTTATATAGTTTAGTTCGATTACCAATCAAAGGCTGCGATCAAAACGAATAGCCAATAACAACACTTTATCACTTGTGCATTTCAATATCAGTAAATAAAGCGGTACTGTTTGTCAAGAGGAGGAGACTTACTTTGACTTAATAAGTATAGTCAAATTTGGGACGTGACCAAAAAATAGCAAACAAGACAAATTATCTTAGTTATCTCATAACTCGTAAATTATCGCAACAGGGCAAAACCATGCACTATATTGCAAATGTGTCTATAATTAAGCCATAATTGTATCGTTTCTAGTTTCACTATCAGGGCTTCGCCACGGTCATTGTATATTTTACTTAAAATAGTCGCCAAGCTTGATTTTAATTAAAGAAGACGAATATTTTCCTGGTATACTAAATCGATCGAATATTCCTCCTGCAGTATCAATACCACAACGACCTGTCCTGCAGCAAGTTCGCAGCAAGACTCTTAACGATTGCAATTCCTCTGTTGGAACCATAAAAAAAAACACACAAAAAATCTTATTCGATCAGGAAAATGATCTAATTGACTAATAACTAACTTTAACATCTTCCTTTGAGCAGGCACGGTTTGTTCCCGCAATATTGTAACCGAACTAGGCAAACAACGGAGCCCCTCTGAACATTATACATCCCCATACGCGGATACGCCACTGAGTTTATTACAATTCTTTAAAAAATGTTATTTACGTGCGGGATGGAGAAAAATGTATTACAAGAGAGATATTTTTATCATAATATATATATATAGTACTCAGGTTGTTTATACACGAGCCCGTAAACAGAGATAATCTTGTCACGAAAATATTCTCTTGGTTACAACAGACGATTTGAAGTATATTTAAGGCAAGTATGACCTTCAACTTCACCGAGATGCATTTCAATTTTATTTTGTGCGTTTTCAATATAGTTGTAACCGTAAATTCATGCAAGAAGCGAGCCAGTCCCTTTACGGACCCAGTCATGCTTACGTAAAGTGTCTCTTGACTTAGGTATGCCTCGTGCATAACTAAAACGCCATATGGTGTATTTGACCGAATAATCTCCATAAAATGTTTGGACCTTAGTCGATATACACTAGGTCGAAAACAATAAAATTCCATGCAAAAACCGCAATAATTGAACGTGAAGCGATGATTGTAGTTTCAAAATTGACATGCAGCATGCGGATGACAGCTAAATGAACTGACGGTTTAAAGAAAGTAGTAAGTGCGTGCATACAATACTAATGGAAACGTGACCTGTTTAGCATAATTCATAAAACAAGGCAAATCGAAGATAAAAATGCATGAATATTGAGCTTGTCACATAACTTTCATAATTTACATTTTTACTGAATCTCTTATTTCGCTTTTTCCTTGGCATGTGCTTGGCCACACCAGTGGCTGCAACAAGCATTGACATTTATCATGCATTTCAGTTTGACGAAGGTTTCCATGGCGACCATTACCAAAGAGCTAGAACTGATAATATAAAATACGTTTTGGCTTGAGGAAACACCATGTATATTTATTATTGCAAAGCATACAATCCGTAAGCCCGGATATTCATCAGTGCAAATAATATATCATTGTGATGTAATATATTCTGTGATATGTTCTATAATATATTCTACCAAAACATATATATTGTCCTTCAAAACTCTAAACCTTAATAAACTTTTAACCTTAAACTCTAAGCGCGAAAAGGGCACTGAATACTCAATCGTCTTCATAATCCTTGTACATGCAGCCAAGATTTACAATGGAGAGCGTACCCATTGCACTTTTTGCACTTTTAAGGTCTAAGCAAGGTTTAGAGTTTGGAAAGAGAAAATGCTCTCGAGTGAGATATATCATAATTTCCAGTGAGCGATTGTTTGACTACTGCATCAAATCATGGCAGATCCCGCAAATATTTTTTATATTTATGTTCATGCATGCATGTTAACACAATTTCCGTGATCAGTGAGTGCAAATCATGAATTCCGCTCGAATTGGTACACGTGCCTACAAGAAATTGTAATCCCGTTCCAGCTTCCCACTACAGTGCAGAGCAAGCCAAAAGTTCTAGTAGAGGACTGGATATACTAATATAGTAAATAAAATCTTGTTGGGGCATTTCACCCAATACAATTGGAGAGTTCAAGACATATTAATGTTGCAAAATAATACTTGTTGCTAATAATACTCCCGAACGGTGGGTGGTAGTATATAATAGGTAGCGAAGAATACAATGCGAACTTTTGTAAAGGATACAACTTCCTGAAAAATATAAAAAGAAAATCGCCGTTTCGAGCGAAGGCCGTTCCGTCTGCGGAAATTGTGAATAGAAAAGCGATCACGTGATAAAGATGAACCTATCAAATGGATTTAGTGAAAACAAAGTGTAAACATAAAATGTAAAGAACATTGCAGAATATATTACTATATGTGGAAGCTAGACATCAATATACATGGAATATATGAGAACAAATATGCAGTAAGGTGAGAAAGAGAAGAACTGTCAGTGTCAAGCATAGACAGATTCGGCTAAACATGGGAAAAACGCTCATTAATACCATGGGAGTAAACGGTGTCAAGTTTGGAAATGAGATGCAAAAATGTCTTTAATTTTGCGGCTCTCAATGCTACCAAAGTTGACACAAAGAGGACAATGTGATTTAACTTTTTGTTTTACTAAATCCATCTGATTGGTTTACCGATCACGTGATCGTTTTCACTGTAAAAGCACATGCGAGATTCTTTTTATACTTTTCAGGTAGTGTATCAGCAAACAAAATGAAGATCCCCCTGAAAAGGCTTCGAACCAGAAATCTTTGTAGGGCCGTTATATTAATTGCTTATTTTGCTTACAAACATACTGAAATTAAGACAAAATATACAGCCAATCATTTCGTCAATTCAATACCTATACATGAATATGGACAAAGCGACTCAAAATCCACTACGACATTAATATTAACTATAAACTAAAGCGATGAAAATAAAGATTCTTCCAAAATTGGTTATATATTCACTACTATACTCACTTCCACACATGCACAGCCGGCAGGAATTTCTCCCACTCATGTTGGATTGTTTCCAAAATGCTGAAATATCCTCTAAATAAAACTATCCTGACAGCCAAGTTTCGATGTGAGACAGAACACGTTAAAGTATAAACGCTTCCGTTATAAAATAAACACAAATTACGTGAATCGCGCTATGACGTCATATTAGTCCTCATCGCGTGTATATTATCCTCCCACGGAATTAAATTCGGGATATTTTTGGGAAAGCAGACAAATGGACAAAGGACACTTATTACAAATTTAGACTTCTGACGTCAGAGTGTAGTCAATAGAGGATTTAAAAATATCACAATCTATTCTGGGTACATTTTTCTAAAACGAAAGTAATTGATACTAATAATGCTCACCGATAATGCAATTCATGTTGCGACATTTCTAGTTAAAATAAATTATTATTATTATTGTTATTTTGGTGCAATAAATTTCTTATTGGGGGAAAAAGCTGTTTAATTTCACCTTCACGGGCCAGTTGTTCGAAAGCCGTGTCATGATGTTCGGTTGTGCCTAAAATTCAAAGCAAACTTCGCCAACAGCTTGTTACTTTATAAATTTGGCAATATTTCTTCAAGAATCTTGTATGGGTCAGTAGAGGTTTCTGTTCTGAAGTTTTGAAATAAACAGACGTGCAGAAATACATAAACTAAATCAGCAGGTTAAATTTAAACCCAGGGTTAGCGCTAATCCAGTCTTGAACAATCTGCCTCAGGAAAATATAGGACAAATCGATGTCGACGATTAAACCGCATCTGATTATCCATAATTTATTACTGCATGTCTGCATCATATATAATTTATTAATGCATTGTGTTACATTTCATTAAAAGAACACTTATCACTTGTGTTATAAGTTTTTTACCGGCATCAGCTGATCTATGCATGAAGGGTTTCCAGACCGTGGGAGGAACTACGCAATGAAAACCTACATCTATTTTGGGAAAGATCTATGATATTAATGTTGGAAATTGCAAACCCAATATCGTCATGATGAATTTCGCAATTTTCCGATCATAGGCGGCGGACACAAAATAATTGCCCGACGTTGATCGAAATTGCCCGACATTATCATGGGTTTATTGATATAGATGAATAAAAGTAAATAGAAGGAACAGACGCGAGGAAATACAAAGTCAGTCAAGTACGATCGCGTACACTTCATACAGCAGAGCTGCCTGACCCTTATCCCTTTCTGTTTGCCTTCAGACAATGAACAAACATTTGCCTCTATCGACTATGGCTCTAACCCTGATTCTGAAATATCCATATATTTATAACAATCAAACATGAAACTTGATCTAGAAACATCGAGTTCACTGCCTGAATCCTGGACCGACATCTTTGTTTACGTCGTATAAATCCAGCATTTCAAACGCATTTTTATACGGGAATTTTATATGAAAACTGGTAGTATAGTATAGTATAGTATAGTATAGTATACAAAATCGTACGTCAACATCGATTAAACGTACGTCAACTTATGGGCCTGTCACACTATTGCGTATCGTACTAGCGTATGCCATGTAGCGTATGGAAAATATCAATCATACGTTGGTATACGCTGATATACGCTGGCATGCGCTTCAAGCAGGGTGGCATATGGCGGCATACGCATGGATATACGGCGATATGCAGACGTATGCAGGTTTATACGCTACTCATAGCAGGACTTTACTACAGAGCGTATGACCTCGTACGGCATTTCTGTCTGATAATAAAAAACCTGTCTGATAATATGTATTAAAATTCGCGTATAAACACTGGTTGGAATTAGCCGGCGCCAAATGTCCGAATTCAAAAGACATATAGAAACGAGTGGAGTACGATGGTACTTGGTGTAAGTCAAAAACTGTGAAAATATTGGTGCGACAAATGTCGCAGTTCGCACCCTTGCCCTTGGGCTTGGCTACGGTTCTGCACTCTACTACATGCAATTTACATTTAATAAAACATATTGTGTGTCTTTAATTAATATACTACATATATACCGGGTGGCGCAAAAATGTTCCCCCTCTATATGACTCGTTGTAATTAAAAAAACTGAAAAATCTATCTTATACAAATAAAATTTATTGAACGTAGTTATGTCTAACTTAAGATGTAAGCCTTGTACATTTCTATAAAATATTAGCCAAGATATAGGCGTTTACACTCAAGGTAAACAAAAAATGGCCTAAAATGGTCTATTAATTTGCATTAGGCCAAATAAAAAAATACTTGGTTAGCGTCACACTCTCACAAATTTACTCGTTTTTTATTTTTTTAATAGTATTTGTTGGAGGGGATGGGGGCGGTTTTTCCTCCATATCGGTGATATTTTTTGTACTGATGTTGCGAAGGCCGCCATTTTGCTATAAGAACCTTGTATACCCAAGCCCACGCGCTCCTATCGCGCGAAAAAATTTTTTTAAAAATTCAGAGGCGGCAGAAATCGAGAGGCGGGCGGTGACGCTAACCATTTTTTTTTTTTATTTGGCCTTATGGTAGTAAAATGGCCAATTTTCGCTTCTTCCAAAAATGCTACCTTGAGTTTAAACGCCTATATCTCGGCTAATATTCTTAATTCTATAGAAATGTTTAAGGTATACATCAAAATTTAAGTTACTGTAGACATTACTGCGTTCAATAAACTTTATTTGAATAAGATGGCTTCTTTAGTTTTTTAAATACAATAAATCAAAGAGGAGGAACATTTTTTTGCGCCACCCGGTACATCAGAAATATCCGCTTGCCTCGTCGACCAAAAACATCAATATTCAATAATGCCATATGCTAATCATTTCTATTACTAATCAATAATAATATCATAAAAAAATACATTATTCACAGCCACCTGATGATTCCTCTTGAATTAAACAGGCTGTAACGCGACTCTCGCACACTGCAGTTTTGTCAAGCTGTGGGTATTTTATATTATATCAGAATATAGTGAGATCATCATAGCAGGTTTAAATTAATGGATAAGGGTACGGGCTACAACGATTTGCAAGCAAGTAGTATAAATTAAAAATAAGTACTTACCAGCACTCCCATACATATGCTGTGCAGTTTTGTAAATTGTATCAAAAGTTCGATTAATTTGCTTCTCTAAAGACGTCACCAAAAGAAACGAATCTGGTTCAGCACTCGTATCCGATTCATTTTCAACACGGAACACGAAGCCACCGTCCACTGGGCCGTAGTTAAATAATTGTTCAAATTTCCAACGACCAATACAGCGAAAGTTTTGTTTGCGTATCAAAGTAAAGAAATTAGGATAGATATGAAGAGTAACTTCACCAGATTTCAACGGTTGTTTACTGGGAAGAATGCCGTCATACGTTACATCTAAAAATTACAGTAGAACGATTTAGGACCGCATATAGATCATGGATTTGCCAGGATATCAATACTGACCGTCCAAAAACTACAGTGGGTGTCTATTCTCGTGTGCGTGCATGGTCAAAAAACATAGTGGAGGCTAGGACCGCACCATATATGCACATGCAGTTAACTGGGAATCTAACAGTTCAACATCCCCTTACCAAACCATTTAAATTTCATTATATGTTAACACAAGTCAGATGATGCTCCAAATTTCACTGCGTGCTTGGTGCGATCTTACTTATACTCCACCGGAGTGAAAGCTTCCACGAAAGTTTGTGCATGCCACCAGAACTGCATAGTGACTTTAATCTATGCTCAAGCACTGTTTGGGATCAATCTCGCATACATTTTGATAGTGAAACTTCACATGAAAAAGTTTCCACATTGATTGTTCCACACTTTCTCCAAATCCCTCTTCAACGCGGAATGCGCGAATGGGGATGCCTCAGGTTCATAGAATTGTAGACTTTCGTCTTTTCTCGAAAGGTGAAGGAATTTTAGAGGACTTACTTTACGTAAGAGTAAGGAATTTTGCTCCCTATGTTGATTAGCTGTTCAGCCAATCAGAGGGAACCTGATAAAAAAGTCACTCGCGCGTTTGGTTAGGCGTAAAAAAAATACCTGTGGTTCCGGTTCCCGACCGACCCTATTTTTTCCCTGCCGACCCTATTATTTTTTCAACGCGATGTCGCGATTGACCGTGCGACCCTATTTTCTCCGGGTGGTTGCGGGCTGCTGCCAAAATGGCGTCTGTTGTCACACCAATTATTGAAAAAACCATGAAAAAATATTAAAAAAAAAAATTATTTCCGACCTACCGACCCTAATTTTTTCGCGATATGAAACCGGAACCACAGGTATTTTTTTTACGCCTTATTTCATATACTAGACTTCTGAAAGTCTAATTAACACAAGAAATAGCACAAATTCCAGGGACCGGCTAAACGGAGAGTTATGAAGTGGAGAGTTATGATTTCGGAGAGTTATGTTCGAACCACGCCCACTTTTCCCAACTACCACACCCAATTTCTTAACTCTCCTGACGTTTCCTTGAACTAACATGAGAGAGTTATGTTTGACATAACTTTCTCTCGTTAACATTATGAAGATGTTAGAGAGTTATCATTTTTTATAACTCTCCGCATGAAAAGCTGAAGAAACAGGCTTTACTAAGGTTTTCTCAAAAAACTCTCATCATCATTGCCACAATTGTGAACGCAGAGAGTTTTAAAAAATGATATCTCTCTAACATCTTCATAATGATGAGAGAGAGTTATATGTCAAATATAACTCTCTCATGTTAGTTCAAGGAAACGTCAGGAGAGTTAAGAAATTGGGTGTGGTCGCTGGGGAAAGTGGGTGTGGTTTGAACCTAACTCTCCGAAATCATAACTTTCCGAGATAACTCTCCGGTTGGTAACTCTCCCTTTAGTCATACCCCAAATTCCACACCCAACTTTGTGGAGGTAATAGATACAGTGGAGGTCGACTTGGAGCAAGTCTACTGGATGTATAATACACTCGAGTTTCAAAACATAACACTGTACCTTCTCCAAACCCTCCTTCACTGACTATGGCATCGACCCAATGATCTCGATCTTCTTGCTTCTCAAATCTCAATGACAGAGCTTGTGATTCAGTAATTACAACCAACTTTGGCGGCTTGCTCTCTTTATCAATACTTTCAGCACAACAGAAATCTCGCAGTGAGAGCAAGAATTTTTCTTTATGCTTACTTATTGCACTCAAACGATCCTTGTATATGTACAAGTTTATCCGTTCTAGATAAATAGAGAAAATATAATACTCAAGAGACAAAATGAAAAAGGTTGTCAGTCACAAAGTGATGATTAGCCTGCGATAGCAGACTGATCTCAGCCGAGGGGGGATGATTGATGACTACTGATTCTGAGGCTAATTAAAGGCTAAAGAAATTTATCTAATTTTACTACAGTTATGTATCTCAATGTTGACACTACCAAACAGATTTTAAAATTTTCTATATTGATATTTGTAGTTTTCAATATTCATTTATTAACTTTATAACAATCTTTTAACTAAACAAATACACAACAATTAACTTAACATAAATAACTCAACATAAATAAAGACAAATACTGTAAGGATGAAGCTATGGTCAACAGAACAGAAATCCCATATTAAGACCAAGCAACTTGGGTTGTAAGAATGACACTTTGAACAGTAAGTCTTCCATGTACGCATTCGATTTACATCAAAGGTTGATATTGCTGTTCCAAAGGAAAACAATCTGATTGAGAAAGGAGTTCCTAAAAATCTCTTTTTGCAAAGAACTTACTGGGTAATTCGAGTTTAGTTTGATATACCACAACAGTCAAGTTCATCTCACTATGCTGTCACACTATATATTGCATCTAATATGGCGAATACGGAAATAGAAAGAAAGAGTTGGAACATCCAACACAGTTGGGGGAGGTTCATGTCACCAACCTCGTACCAATATTAGCTGGTCTCATGATCTGCTAGCTACAATCTAGAAAATTCTCAAGTGACACATGTGCTTTTGATCATTTCACCTAGTTTATTGAAACAAACAACACTTGTACACATGATGAAAGTTCGCTTCTACATTCTCATCTCTCCCAAATTGACATAACAATGTTTATTAAAGTCTGCTAGATTTTAGCAGATCATACCAGTGTCTTTCCTGTTACAGTTTCTCTCCCTCCCAGTAAATGTCAGTTGTCTCCAGCAGAGAGGGAAAGACCTGCACCAAGTGCATCCTTCACTATAGAAACCACCAGTCCCAATATCTTGGAATGTAAGTCGGAAAGTGGTCACTGTAACTTTATACAAACACAAAAACCAAAGCCAGCCAACAATTTCAAAAATATAAGAACAAAACAAGACAAGTTTGAAACTACTTCTGACACAAGTGGGAGACTCTACTGTATGCATGTAGAGAACAGACGGTACCATATCTTTAAAATGTTCCATTTATCATGGTTGTTCTTCTTACAGTATCTTGTGGCCAAGGATCTGACACTGACACATTTGTCAATGAAAAACATTTTTTGACAATATAATTGCGTCGGCTGTCGGATGAACAATGAAAAACTAATAATGCTACAACCCCTGCAGCCAGAAAGTAAAATCACCCCTCCCCCTGGATGGCAGCAAGAAAAAAACTTGACTAACATATGAAATTTATAGATCTTGCCCCTGAGGCAGTTGAACATGTTCCTAAGGCATTAGCAGGAAAGTTATATACATTGATGAAAACCTGGAAAATCATGGCAGTTATAACAGGTCAACAAAAACCTCCAGAAGGAACATGTATATATATATATATATATATATATACATAATTAATTAAAGTTCTCCAGATTGAAATATACTTTTATTAAAAAGTAAAAGTATATTTCAATCCGGAGAACTTTAATTAATTATAATATGCCTGGATTACAAATCTTTAAACATATATATATATATTATATAATTATACATCTGTAATATATTAAGATGAAAATGTTCTAGAGTGTGTATTATATAATTTCCATACCCAGCGCAAGCAGAAAGATGTTGTCTGCCGCGGCTGGGTCTCGAACCCGCAACCTTCGAATTACTAGATCGACGCTCTACC